TCGAGATATCCATTAAATCTCCATCTTTTACTTGCTAGAAACACTAAACATATGGCTTATAATCTGTCCAACCTAAGCTAAAACAAATAATACACAAATCCAAAAAAAAATAATCTCACCAAAAGTTTCAACTAGTACGGCTAGCAACCTTGTACAAATTCCAGCAATATAACAAATTAACTTATAGTGTTTTGCCCATAACTTCCTTCAATTTTTACTTCAACTCAACATGCAAAAGGTGATTAACCAGCTACAAACTAATCTTAAATACCCAGTATAAAAATCTTAGCTAAAATTCGAAGGAAAACTAGTCAAGTGCTCAATCCCCCCCTCTCGCCCACAACTTCAGTTTTCTATTCTCTTTTTTTTTTTTTAACCACGACTCATCAGCTACATGCATGACCAAAAAAAAAAACAGCTATCTATCAGATTTGCTCCAAAACCAACTTCGGACAACATCAAAATCACTAACCAACCAGGAATTCATCCAAGTCAGCTCTCGGTTGGCTTGCATGCAAGCAGATTTTGTATTCCTTCAATTTCTTGCTTTCTCACAGCTGATTAACCTCATGCAAGGCATAATCATCCAGATTTTAGTTAGCTAAATACACAATTAAACTTAAATCACCACAAATTGGCCAATTAAAGCTGTAATATCCAGCCCAAGCTCTCGGCAAACCCAAATTCATTCAAAACCAGATTTCTTGTAACTTAATTCTTTATCCAACTGCACAACCCTCACATGCATGCCCCTAAACAGCTTCATCAACCAATAAACAACTAGTCTAAGTCCAGAACTTACCTCAGTTTGAAGCTCAACACACACGACTTAGCTGCTGCAATATTTCTCTCCTCTCGGCAGTCCAGAAATGCAGCCCGCTAGCTCTCCCTCTCCCTTGCTCAAGCTTGCGACTAGAATGGAGGAAATTTGGCTCTCGGTCTCTTCACCAGGTCACGGTTGAAATGGGGAAAATCAGCAGGTCTCACTTTTTGTTTTTTATATCTTGCGGACAAGAAGAAAGGAAAATGAATAACTCGGCTCCCTCTCTCACTCACTCCACTCTCGCCTCACGGCAGGAGGAAGGAATAGAATTGGAGTGTTGTTGTGCTGGAATGCAGTTGATATAGTGGAGTGTGTGTGTAGTGGAATGTATATAGTGGAGTGGTTTAAGTGGCTAAGTAGGCATTAGGGATGGTAGGTGCTGGAATGAAGAGTGGAAAATGGAACCGGCAGAAATTGGAATTGTTTGGAATTGAAGCTTGTTCAAGAATTGTTCCTTGGCTGAATGGTTGATTTGGAATGGAGGGGGGCTAATTTGGTCTTTTAACAACTTGTTCGCCCTTCCACTTAAGCTCTCATTCGTAAACTAACTCCAAGATTTCACCCCAAATGAAGTTCGATAGCCTACTAGCATACTAGTCTCGCAAAAATTAAATTATCGAGATTCAACGTCCTACGTGTAATTATAAGGGGTTTGGACCTAAGTCGTTTTCGTCTTAGTTCTAGGTTTCCGTTAACACTTAACGTTATTAGCACTTAAAATTAACTATTGAAATTCAAAGAATCAAAACCAAAGAAATAAAATAACTTACATCAAGAAATATTATATTAACTTGGCAAAAAAATCAAATATTTAAAATATTTGGCACAATCAAATTATTTGAAACCTAAATATTATTTTTACATGCTTATTGCAGAACAACCACTACAAGAAAATTGGTCATCAGTGACAACTTTTCTCTGTGACGAAAAAAAGTTGTCACTAAAGGAGATCCTTTATTGACAACTTTCTAACTCGTCACAAACCTCTAATGGGAGCCAACTCATTTGTGACGACTTTTAAGTCGTCACTAGTAAATTCCTGCCAAGATTTAGCAAGAGCGCGGGAGTGTTTAGAACACACAATAGTGACGACATTAAGAACATCATCACTATTGCTTGGCCTATTTACGGACGATTTTTTGTTGTCGTCACTGATCACTTAAAAAAAAAGTTATTAGTGACAACATTTTGTAGTGATGACAATAAGTCGTCACAAAAGGAGCTTCTTTAGTCGCGATACCTAAAGTTGTCACAATTGCATCAAAGTAACTAAATGTTTAGTGACGACCCGTTATTTTCATCACAAACTACACTGCAAGAAATATGGTCATTAGTGACAACATTTTCTAGTGACGACAAAAGTTGTCACAAAACGTGGTTGTTTAGTGACGACAAGGAAAGTTGTCATAATTGCTTAAAGCAACTAAGTCTTCAGTGACGACCTTGAAAAACGTTGTCACTAAAATGATCTATATAGTGACAACTTCTAATATCGTCACTGTCACTCTACCGATTCAGATTTAGTGACAAGAATTAATCGTCACTGTTTAAAGTACTTATTTCTAAGTCACTTTCATTAATTCTACTGTGCCACCCGCGATTTATCCCTAAATGTTGTAAAAAATTCCATTAATTCCATTATAATACCTTAACTTTTACAATTTAGCCCCATATGTAGTACACCGATTTCTTTAATTCTATTATTACTCCCTAACTTTTGTAATTTAGCCCCATATGTAATTCACCAATTTCATTAATTCTACTATGGCACTCTAACTTTTGCAATTTAACCCCCATATGTAATACACCAATTTTATTATTTCTATTATGGCACCCTAACTTTTACAATTTAGCCCCTATTTTTTTATTAGGAAATTGCGAATGGTATCTTGATAAACTATGCATAAATATTTTATAATTTTCTCAAACTTAAGTAATAATTTGTTATAAACTCTAAAGATATATCTTTCATTATAATAGTTATAAGGCAGGCAGGTCTTTTTATCAATGGAATAAGAAATTTATGCCAGATTTATCCTTTGTACTACATGCCAAGTAGTATTAGCAAAGGAATAACAAAGTACTACAAAGTAATTAACAAAATAGCCTTCAGGGAGTATAGTTTATGGGCAAATGAGCATTATCTATTCGGCATTTTACTCTCAAACATATAATTTATGATAAATTTATAAATGTTTGTAAGTAAAATTCAAAAAGTGTTACACTGATTTCTTACAAAACGAAAACTGACAGGTTATCTTTTCAACATAAATTAAATTTTTTTAAAAAAAGAAATGGTCCATAAAGTACCAACTCTTTGTGGGTTTCTTCCATTACATGAACAAATATTCTGCTCTTTATGGGCATTTCACTCTAAATCATTTAATTTATGTTAAATACATAAATGTTTGTAAGTAAAATTCAAAAAGTGTTGCACTAATATTTTTATGAAAGGGAAACTGGTAGGTTTTGTATTTAACATAAATTAAATATGTGAAAGCAAAAAAAAAAAAGAAATTACCCATAAATCTATGTCTTGCAAATCTATACTAGTAAAATAGTTTCAAACAAAATTAAACATTAAAATAAACTGTAATTTATACACATTAAAATATCTGTAATTTATACACATTTTGCAACTACTACTTTGTGTTTTCTCTATAATGAATTTTTTAACTATTGAGAACTTAAGTTTTGTCTTGCAAATCTATACTAGTACAATAGTTTTAAACAAAATTAAACATTAAAATAAATGTTTGAAAAAGAACAAAAGTACATTTATCACTTGCAGTAATGTAACAAAATTTTCTCAACCATTATCAATATTTTCACAAAAGTATTAAAACTAGCAATTGACAATATTAAAAACTAGCAATTTAATTAGTGACGACTTTCCTTGTCATTATAATCTTGAATAAATTAGTGATAACATTATGTCATCACTAAATTTTCTTTGATTTTGACTTAACAATAATGTTTTATTAATAGCATTTGATTATTTTTAATGAAAGTCTGTTATAACCATAGAATTTGACTTTCGTTATTTTCAATTAATGATGTATTTTAGTGCTGCAATTATAAAAAATTGCAGGGCTAAAATATTTGCAAATTATAAAAGTATATTTTCACTTATATGTAATTAACAAATTTTGCCACCTATATTGATGAAAATTTGTGTTTTTGTACTAAAAAATAAAGAATAATACTATAGCAATAAAATCTATGCTTCAAACCAAATTAAAAATAAAAAAAAAGCATGATGATTGGTCTCAAATGTTGGGAAAATGATTATTTTTATTGAAACTGTGTTATAACCATATAATTTGAGTTTTATTATTTTCAATTACATTGTAGACACCAAATTTTTGATTTTTTAACTTTATTTGTTTAATTAATTTAATAGGTTTATTTGTTTCAATTCTAGGGTTTTTTTATTTTTTATTTTATTTTTTTTATTTTTGTTCTGGCTTATTTTATTTTTTGTCTTCATACTAAATTTCAGAAAACAAAGAAAAAAAGGAAAAAAAGAGAAAAGAAAAAAAAAAGAGTGAAAGTGACAAGTGGGGAGGCATGCATTTGGACAAGTGTCTCTTTTATGTTAGGGACACTTGGTAAGTTTAAGGAATTTTTGGGGGAAAAAAATGAAAAAAGGAAAAAAGGAAAAGATGGAGTTTTTAGGGCCAAAGGAGAAAGTGAGTAAGGAGAGGCTTCGGACACACAAAAAAAAAGGGGAAAGAAAGCTAAGCAAAGGGAGCAGAGGGAGAAAAACAGAGAGGGGCGGCTAGGTTTTGGGCATGAAAGCTTCGGCGAACTGGGAAAGAAAGAAAAAAGAAGAAGGGCGCGAGGGATAAAAAGGAAAAGTAGAGGGAAAAGAGGAACCAGGCGGCGGGCTGAGCAAAAAATGGAGGAAACAAGCAACGAAAAAAACACACAAAAGGGAAATGGGGGTTTCAGCTTCAATCATCCGATAAAAATTTTTCCAATCACCACTGCCAAATTTCCCACCACCTCAACCGGCTGCCGGCTGCCACCACTCTCTTTCCACCATCCGTCCTCAAATTCCCCCCAATTTCCCCAAACGAATCCTCCACAAAAACCCCTCATTTCCCATTCTGCTCCTCCCCACTTCTAATACAAGCCTTTTCTGCCCAACGCCTCCACCACAGCCCTTCCCCTTTACCGTCGTCTCTGTCCGCGCCAAGCCCAAAAAAAAACTCATCCTCAGCAACCTTTCTGTTCTCGGTGAAAAGGGCAAGAACAGCTACGACGTCGAGACTCTCATCAAATTCTTCTCCACCTGCTCCTCTTCCGTGGATAGCTTGAGCAGCAACAGCAGCGGAGATTTCCAACTCACCGAGCCGTCACCACCCATCGGATATCCATTGCCGCCTGCGAATTTCACCAAGAAAGCCTTGTAAGTCGTCTTCCCTCTTTGAACTTCAGTTCCCATTCAAGCACAAACGTCTGAGCTCCCAAAGCATGTTTTCCGTGTCTCTGTTAGTACAATTTTCTTGTTGATTGTTTATGGTTTTAGAATATACAGGCTCTAGGTGTCGATTGGACTGATTTATCTCGTGTTTATAACAAATTTTGGGCTAGTCATAACCTCAATTGAGCACAATATGCTGAAGTTTTTCACGCCCATTTAGTGTTTGATAAAATGCCCGAACGGAAATCTTGAACCAAAAGAGGAGATTTTATGTTTTTTTAATTTGAGAGAGACTCTGGCCAGTCCAAAGCATATATTTTTCCAAATATGGAATCAATGTCCCCTTGTGTCGAGAAATTTGATTTTATTTGACAAAACAATTGGGAAAATAGTTTTTTTTCTCTAGCTATTTATCAAGAAAGAGCATAACATACTATTCACTGTTTTTGAGTTTTCAACATCATTCGTATGTTAATATGAAGCTTCATATATAAGGTAAATATGCAAATCCACCGCTGGAGAGAATTCGACATGCTACTTTTCGGTTTTCTAGAGGGGCAACCCTCTCTTTTGTTCTGTACTTTAGTTGCTGCCTCTGATGCTAAGCGGATTTTGTTCTGATTTTAGGCTTCTCAAGAGCTTAGCTTTTTTGCAGCTGGCAATGATTTTAGGCACTGGAGAAAGAAAATAGTGAAGATGGAAATAATTCTGATTCTAGCAGTTATTCTAATGATAATGAGGACGAAAGGCCGGAGAGCAAATCTATCACCACCTCTTGGCCTCAAAGTTACAGGTAGTATCATCTTATCGCACATATCTATATTTGTTTCTTTCTACATCTAGCTATGGTGTTCTCTATGTTTGTTCTGTTCTTGTTGTGCAGATTCTGTATTTAGCAGTGAAGCACTTGGTTTCTTGAAAGCTGTTATATTTATATGGTACCAGATATTTAGCTTTACCTATTCATTTTTGGCTAGGAGAGATATTTAGAAATGGGATTGAAATGCTTTCATCATTCATATTTTGAAGCTTCTTCAAGTATTTTCATTCTGTTTCGGCCATGAATATCAATAGTTTATGAGTTTGAATGGATCCAGTAACATCAGTAAAGGATAGCTATGGGCTTAAGGTAGGCTATGTAATGTTATCAAAAGGCCAGAGCATTTTATGTCTTCCCTGGATCCTTCTTCAGCTTAGCGGAACTTGGTAGGATGCACTTATATTGCTGAGTACTGCCTCTATTGAAAAGATTTTCCTTCGTCATGAGGGATTGGTGGTTAATCCCTGTGAACCATCTTTGGAAGTGAAGGAGTTGTATTTGTCCTTGCTACATTTATCAATGGTAGAAACCATATTTTGGATATTACCTTTCATCGAACGGCTGATTCTGGAAGACTGAACCAATTTCCATAACTTGTGTGTCATAACATCTGGCCAGAACTATACCAACTTTTAGACAGTCTGCTAGATATTTTGATTGAAATAAGTGCCAGAGATCCACTCTCCTCCTCCAATCATGTACCAGCGTTTCTTATTTGCATCGGTTTTCAGTTGTTTTTGGAGAGGATAAAAAATACTGGTTTGATCAAAAGTACAACCATCACTCCCTCATGTGCAATTCTACCAGCTGCAAATAATTTCGCTCTTAGCTTTTAAGATTTAGAATCAATTCTAATGGTTCTTTGTTAATTTGTTTTAAACTTGCATAACTGGATTATATATTTGAGAAATGGTTACATTAGTCATCTCACTTGGACTGTGTTCAAACTCTGGTTGATAATGCTTGGTATCTCATATCCTTGTATCAGGCAGTCCATCGATTTATACAGTAGTGTACCATCTCCAAGTCTTAACTTCCTGGGGACGCCTACGTTATCATGTTTAGGCAGCTCATGTATCTCTTATTCATTAACAAGAAGATACACTCCTGAAGTACTCCCTTCTTCGCAAAACCTCTATTACCACCAGTAGCAGATGCACGTCGGCCACCAGAAAGGCGTAGTTCACATTCTCTGCTGCCCTCCATTCAAGGGAGGCCTTCCTTAAGAAAAGCAACTGCTGACAAGAAATCATCCAAGGTCTCACATGAGGTTTCTCTTCCTAGCCAGAGTTCATATGGACAAGCTGTGGTGAATGGTAGGTTTATTTGATTGAACATCCATCAATCTACATAGAAATGCAGGAATATTAAAGAAGCATTTATCAGAGGAACTGCATAATTAACTTGTATGTTGACGTGAATGTTGATGATTCGTACTTCAATAATCTGTCCTTATTCAACTTCTAGATGTAGGAATATGAACTTGCTCGCTTTACTGTAAGAAAAGCCTAAATTTGCTATAATCTATTCACTCACTGAGAACTTTGATGGCTTGCATAATATTCTAAATCCTTTTCTTCTATCTGTAGATATATATTCTACCTATACATTTGATCCTTTTCCCTTTTCACTGATGTAAGGAAGTTCGTCCTTGCAGTTCCTTGCAAAATGAAATAAAATATCAAATCAGAAACTATCATGAAACATCTAGAACCGTTTGAAGGCCTTGACAATTCTGATTTTACCTTTGCATTTAGCTGCTAATGTGCTCATGGTGAATGAAGACACATAAAAATTATGTACATTTACTTTTCACAGGCATAAATGTTCTTTGTGGTGTTGGAATTCTTTCAACTACTTGTGCTGTCAAAGAAGGTGGATGGGTTGGGCTCTCAATTCTGTTTATCTTTGCTGTTGTTTCTTACTACACTGGGATTCTCCTGCATTCCTGTTTGGACAGTCAACCTGGGCTCAAGACTTACCCGGATATTGGCCATGCTGCCTTTGGTAATGTGGGACGTATTGCTACATCTGTAAGTATATTGTAAAATTGTCATTTTCTGAATGCTTGTTTGATGGTCCCCTTTATCTTTGAGGATTTCAGAAACTTTTTATTGGCCTTAACAATTTTGGAGCCAGAGTGGTTTTTTGGACTCTCTGAAGTTTACTTGGGAGGGTTGACAATGATAACTTTTGTTATAGCTGAAGAAATTGTATATGATGTTACAATTCGATACCTTCTTATTAACTCTAAATGGAAATGATACCTTTCTGTCTCTAGGGTACTGATAGTTAATTTGTTGCCTTTTCAGGTTTCACTCATGCCAGATCCAAAAGCTAGATCATATTTATGCAGCCTCTTTGTCACTGCTGCTTTGATTTGTTGCGTATACTTCATCGGAACTGCATTCCTTGCGAAGGATGACATGGTAAGTGTCTTTCTTTTAGTTCTTTTTAATTCATTCCATGGGACATGGACTTTGCTTTAATTACCCTGCTGTTATAATGGTTTGCTTCAATGGGTATCACATAAACATTTCTGAGGGCACTTTGGGCTTTGACGCTACAACTTCTGGTTAACTTCAAATATCAGGCGGACTTTGTTTCTCCTCTTTCCCCTCTTTCAAGAGCTGTGTTGCAGGATTTTGGTAGCATTTTACTAAGTGTAACAAATATTAGTTTCGAAGAATTGCAAGATCTTCAACATTCACATTTGGATAATCTGTACTGTGGTATATTAGAAGAGAGATGATGTCAAGATGTGGTAAAAATTTAGCAAAAGCCTTAGTTGTATTGATTTAACAATTTTTAAAGAAGACAGAACCTAATTATTCTTTATTGCTATCCTTTGCTTTTTAGGTTTCTATAACCCTCTATAAAGCATGCATCATGATATATTGATTTATGCCTTTTAACGTGCCTTCGCATCGCGCTACTGTAGTTATTATTCAATAGAAAATGTTAGCCAAAGGCTATCATTCAGGAGAAAATATTCACTACAGAATCAACTGCCGTTACTCCATTTTTTGTATCAGTACATAGCTGCTCTTATAAACTAATAATGTATATTGCTTTTGCGTGTTAACCAAGGATATTTTCAATCAATACTTAACTGCTCTTATCAACTAATATATACTGCTTTTGCATGGGAGGGAACCTTACTAACAGGTCTCAAGCTCCCACGCCTTGCGTGGGAAGCAGACCCTAGTATTTGTATAGATTGGACTGTGATTTCTAACTTCTTGCTGGTGTTGTAATATGTGGGCCCAAATTATATGAGGTTCTTAATGAATTGTAATTTTTGTCTTAATAATCTAAGTCTCATTACTTGTTCTTTATTATTGTACTCCTCCCCTTATCTACTTCTTTTACTCTTTTATGACAGATAAATGCTATTCATACTAGCTTTTGGAAGATATCTATGGTTATGGTTGAAGAATGTTGAAGACAAAATTGCCTTTTGCTCATGGAGTGGTTCATTTAAATGTTCTTCAATTTCTTAAACTGTGATTGCTTTTGTAAATGTACCTTATGTACAAGTGATATTTTGGACAAATGTTATTTTTGTAGGCATTAGTTGGGTAATGTACACTTGAATTTGGCATTTGAGAATGCTATATTATTACCATGTAATCTAATGCAAATACTTTTGGTTATCAATCGTTCATGTTTATTTGTGTGGTTTGTTTAAAATCAATGATTTAGCAATGATTACAGGCCAAATTATGACTATTAAGCTATTGAGAAATTATCTAATGACAAAAAAAAGTTGTCATAAAATAGAAAATAAAAACTCCTTGTCATAACAGAGACTGTCACTAAATCTAAGCTAAATTTGTGACGACAATTGTTGTCAGTAAAATAGTTATATACAATGGCTTTCGGTGCTTTTTAGTGACGACCTTAAGTAGAGCATTTTTGACAAAAGGTCAATTCGTCAATAAAATACTTCCGGATTGTTGTCACTAATGACAACTATTTAGTGACGACATTTTAGGTCGTCACTAAATAGTTGTCATTAGTGACGACAATCTGGAAGTGTTTTATTGACGACTTGATCTTTTGTCAAAAATGCTCTACTTAAAGTCGTCACTAATGAGTACTATTTAGTGATGACATTTTAGGTCGTCACTGTTTACTTTTACCGACGGGGATTTAGTGACGACTTTGTGACGATTAAAAAGTCGTCAATAAAAGGTATTTGTGACGATATTTGTATGTTCTGTGATGACTTTGTGTTGTCACTGATGAACAATTTTCTTGTAGTGAACTAACAATAAAATTCATTAAAAGACTAAAATGCAAATGCAACACGTATATATATATGTATTTATTATTTTTTTTCAAGGCTCTCACATCTCGGTTCTCATTCCTTCTCTCGGTGATCACTCCAGACTTCCTCCTCTTATCACTCACTCGGTTGTGGCTGGAAGGCACCAAAATTGCTCCTTCACTCTCACTCTTTCGCACAGCTTCGGAAATGAAGATGAGAAAGAAGTTTCAGTCGCTCTCACTTCTCTTCTTTTGTTCCTCTTAGTCGATAATAACTAAGTGACTGATCACACAAAACTTCATCAGTCGGTGATTGCTAAAACCGAAGCTCTCCACTCAGTCTTGCTTCAAATAATCTGATAGTTAATGGTCGCATGGTAGTTTCCCACAACTCTAGGTTAGTTTAGTCTTTTAACATTATCTCATCTATTTTACCAATCTGCAATTTTTTCCTTAATTCACTCGTTAGTTCCTAATCTTATTTGTATCTCCTTAATCTCATAAATTCTCACACACTTAATTTTTAAGAAATTAATTAAACAAGTACCTTAGCACTAAAATATGTTTAATTCATACCAATTATGGTATACACCATGTTTTTGTTTGGTTTGTACAGTTTATTTTATAAGTTTTAAATTTAAATGTTTAATTAATCTATGAATTGGTATATAATAATTCTAATGGTGAAAATGGAAATAATACATGCATGGTTTACACAAAAATTTTCTAGGGCTTTAACATACTTCCCCTCTTAAACATGTATTGTAATAAATAAAAGAAAATGGAACATGTATTAAATTTTAAATAAGGAATAAAATTTTCAAGCTCCCACACTCTCTTCCCCTTACACCGTTATTCTTAAGTAAATCAGGATATTTTTAAATTCTCAATTTTTATAAAAATTCAATTAGGCATTTAATTTAACCACTTTTTCATTATATGTAATATTTCTAATATCAAGGTAAATAAAATAAAATAAATGCAAAGCACACACATGATTTTGTTGAGTTCTCACAGAGACAATTGCATTAACGGAAGAATGTAGTGCCATTATACAAAACAAATTGCCACCAAAGTTGAAAGATCCAGGGAGTTTCACAGTTCCTTGCACTATTGGTAATGTTGAATTCTCTAAAGCACTTTGTGACCTTGGTGCGAGTGTTTCATTGATACCTTTAACTGTGGCTAGGCAATTGGGGCTAAAAGAGTTAAAGGATACTAATATTTCCTTGCAATTGGCTGACAGGTCTATTAGACATCCAATGGGCATATTGGAGAATATGCTCATTAAAGTACAGAAATTCATTATTTCTATTTATTTTGTTGTTTTAGATATGGAGGAGGATGTCAATGTACCTATTATACTTGGTAGACCATTTCTAGCCACCGCAGGTACAATAATAGATGTTAAATGTGGTAAGTTCAAGTTCCAAATTGGTGAAGAGGAAGTGGAGTTTGATTTGAGTGAAGTGGAGAAGTATCCCTCTTTTACCAACCATGTTTATTCTGTTGACATATGTGATGAATTGGCATTAGAGATGAGTCAAGTTAATCTCGATGATGATTCTCTTGAACTTTGTCTTAATGGTGTAGGCTTACAAGAGGAACAAGTTGAAGAAATGACTGAATTTTTACAGACATAGGTTCCTTACAAAAGGAGAAATGGTATGAGGAGTTAGGACTGAGCAAAGGATTACCTCCACCATCTGTGAGCAAGTTCCACGGCTTGAGCTTAAGCCACTGCCTAAACATCTCAAATATGCATTTTTTGGAAAAAAAAAGATATTGCAGGTGATTGTAAATTCTGTACTAGATGAGGAACAACTAGGCAAGCTCTTACGTGTTTTGAGGAAGCATTTAAAGGCTATAGGATGGATGATTTCTGATACCAAGGGAATCAGTCCAACTATTTGTATGCACCGGATTTTGTTAGAAGAAAATTCTAAGCCGGTGGTAGAAACTCAAAAGAGATTAAATCTAAACATGAAAGAAGCGGTAAGAGCAGAGATTCTTAAATGGCTGGATGCAGGTATAATTTTTTCAATTTCTGATAGTGTTTGGATTTCTCCTATTCATGTAATGCCAAAGAAAGGGGGGATAACCATAGTACATGGTAAAAATGATGAAATGATTCCCTCTAGAGTTGTGGTTGGGTGGCGAGTTTGTATAGATTATAGAAAACTGAATACAGCCACTAGAAAGGATCATTTCACTCTTCCTTTGCTTGATCAAATGGTAGAAAGATTGGTCGGATATGAATTTTATTGTTTCTTGGATGGTTTTTCAGGATATAATCAAATAGCCATCGCACCGGAAGATCAAGAGGAAACCACATTCACTTGTCCTTACGGCACTTTTGCATTTCGAAGAATGCCTTTTGGACTATGCAGTGCACAATTTTCTCTGATTTTAATGAGAAAATCATGGATGACTTTTCTGTATTTGGATCTACTTATGATCATTGTCTTAACAATTTAGATCTAATTTTGCAGAGATGTAAAAAAACAAACCTTGTATTCAATTGGAAAAAATGTCGTTTCATGGTTTGTGAGGGTATTGTTTTAGGTCACAAAATTTCTTCATAAGATATTGAGGTAGATCAAGTCAAGATATAGGTTATTAAGAGAATGCCTCCACCTACCAATGTGAAAGGCATTCGAAACTTTCTTGAACACGTGGGATTTTATCGGCGGTTTATAAGGATTTCTCCAAGATTGCTAAACCTTTATGTGAATTACTTACAAAAGATGTTCCTTTTTACTTTAATGATGAGTGCTTATTTTCTTTCAATAGGTTGAAGAAAGAACTTGTCTCCGCACCTATAATAGCATCACCAGATTAGAGCTTACCATTCGAATTGATGTGTGATGCGAGTGATTTTGCAGTTCGAGCTGTTCTTGGGCAAAAACATGATAACGACTTCATGTCATTTATTATGCACGTAAAATGCTAAATGAAACCCAAGTCAACTATGCAACAACAAAGAATGAGTTGCTAGCAGGGATTTTTGCATTGGATAAGTTTAGATCGTACTTAGTAGGATCTAAAGTTATTATTTATACCGACCATGCAGCACTCAAATATCTCTTAAATAAGAGAGATACAAAATGTGACAGCCCCACGTCCCCCTAAGGCGAATCAAAAGGTTCGGCGGACCGCCTGCCCAGCTCTCGCCGGGACTCAGTCATTCACTCACACAAATCATAAATAGAACCACAAGAAAAAAAAACAAAACGAGGATCCAAAATTTAAAACAAAACTTATATACATAGATATCTCAGAAGGAAGTACAACCGTCAATAAACAGAGGTTCTCAATTCACCATACAACTAGCCCGTGCTAAGCACTAGAGCGAGAACCATTACAAAAGAAAACCAAGAGCTAGACCCAGCTAGTCTATACCGGCTCTCGTCCTTGCTCGCCTTCCCCTGTTAAGAAAAACAAACTAAAGGGGTGAGCTATAAGCTCAGTGAGGTTCCGAACACATAGGCAACAAGAAGTTCAATGCATTCATTACATGCTACCAATAATTCAAATACAAAAGAAAGCGATAAACACCTTTATTAAAAGGATACGTGCTCACAAGGAGCCATTCGTTCATTCATTCGTTCATTCATTCTCCCTTCGTTCCCTCATACCTTCAATCATTTGAAAATGCATTTGTATATAAGTAAAACCCTCATTCATTCATTCGTTCATTCATTCATTCATTCACCAGGCTCCACCAACCTACAAGGTAATACTCGAGTATACCAAAACGTTCACCCAGGTCCCTAATCGCCCGACCGAGTCCGCTACTGGCTCGAGACGACCGGTAATAAGGGGCAGTGGCCAGTTAAGCCAAAAGTCTTACATTCATGCGCAATTAACATTTCAATCATTCAATCATTGAAAATTTCACAATCATTTAGGCCAAGTGCGATAAAGTACACACTTGCATCGAAAACTCGTTTTGGCAATCATTGAAAACATTTAACATGTTATCAATCACTCATACAAGCCATATAATCATGAAACATAACAAACAAGGAACACTCACCTATACACGCAAAATAACGTCCACTTCTCAATCACCAATGAAACCTAAAAGTAAACAAAGAACACATTACAATCCATCTAGCATGATTTGGATGAAAACAAGGATTACCCGACTACCCGCGAGTAAACGTATAAAATGACTTTTAAAGT